AGCCTTCCCCTCAACAGCCCTCCTTGGGGCTCACAAGTACATCTTAAGCAGAAATCCCAGAAACCGTTATTGAAAACTGTGCCTCTGCGCTTCTGAGTTGGGAATGATAGTGGGACCTCATGTTTGCCTACTTAATGTGCAACAACAAGCCATGACCACTTTTCAAAATAACCCCTATGAGCACGAATACAGGCCCGAAGTCTGTTCTCAAACTCCTCGTAACTAGCACGCAGTTATCCTTACCCCTTCCATCTCTTCCCAGCTATTTCTGGGTCTTGCTTTCATTTACTCCAAACTTCAATGGCACAGTTGAGAGGTTTCACTTTTTCTGGAGCCCTCTGCAAAATCATGAAGCTAGCGGGATGGCCTTATCATTTTGGCGTCTACATAAGTATCTTCATCGTTCCTGCCTTATTCAAGCTGCTTGCCGTCGACTGCTGCTTTCCTATTTTCTTGTATCTTCCACCTGTCCTTTTGCTTGCCACGCTTACTCCGTCGACATTAATGGCTAACTTTAGTCTTTCGTAAAGCCAAGTCACGAATGCCACCAGTTCGAATATCATCTCTCCTCCAGGCTGGCCACAAATGCACGGGAGCCGTGGTTGGCGTATCAGATCCGCCATTTTTTAAGTATTTGAAGAAATTACAAGGATTTGATGCGAATTTATTCCATTTCGGTCCTGTACAAACCGAACTCCCGTTGAAGAGTATGGCAAAAACATAAAGCTGACAATTTTTGAATAAACAGCTCGAGTAATCACAAAAAAAACTGCGAATGAAATCTGAATCGTGAAGTTTACTTATTTTTCAGCCAGCATACTCTTAAAAAATCGCGAAGTCGTAAGAATAAAATAATGAAAAACAGTGAACTGTAGACGACTAACTAACGAATCAACCAATGACAATGAAATAAACGACAAAGGATGCACCTGCACAAAACACAGGGCCTCATGCCTCATTACGAGCACGAAAAAAGCCACAAGAAATTCAGATCAGCTTGTCATGATGGCATTCCCATCATGAAAATATGCAAACATTAGATGAATAGGAAATCAACTAGATTCCCTGATTTCCATGACGCTTCAGAGATTGAAATTCTCCAGCTAGTTTTGGAAAAAAGTCAGGACCCAAACCCTTTACTGTCGTTCCGATACTACCGGTGTTCCAGAAGTAGTGATGATCGTTATTTTGAGAAAAAAAA